GACATATTTGGGGATGACATATTCTGGTTTCTATTTCTACCATTAAAATTGAGCTCTACTGGCCTGCTTTTTACTTTTAATGTTAAATCATGAAATTCCAGAACCTGACCTAAAAATAAAAATAAAGTAAAAAAAGAAGCAAGTCTTCATAATTAACAGAAAGAGATGAAGGAGATGTACTCTCTCTAGAATGCTCCAAGGAAGAAGGCTTGAAGCTTCTCTTTGCTCTTTGCATTTACCACTTGTTAAAAAATATCTGATTTAATAGAGTGTTAAATTGATAACATTCATTAGAACATCAAACTTGTTTTTCTGTTCAATATAAAGACTTCGTGTATATTCCTAAGTGTTATCAACTTGTTCTGTTCACTGTCTTTGGAAGAATAATTTAAACAAAGGATTGTAGTAAAACTGCCAGGACTTTTTTAAAATGTTGCAATTTGTGAAAATAACCTTCAAAGAACAACCTGTATCTCTTATTTGTTGTCTTGCTTGATAATGTGTTGGCCTGGTAATAATGGTGAAATTGCCACTTCTGCTTCTCTGAAACCATATATTTAGTCTTTGTGGACCAGATGGTCTCTGCTGCAACTATTCATTTCTGCCCTTGTACCACCAAAGCAGCCAGGAAGCAAGTGGGCATGACTGTGTTCCAATGCCACTTTATTTATGGACACCAAAATTTGAATTTCATACGATTTCCATGTGTCATGAAATATTCTCCTTTTCATTTTTCAACTATTTAAAAATGTATAAACCATTCTTACCTCTTATTTGCATTGGGTGCTCCATCTAGAACTGTCTTCCCCCATTTATTCACGTGGTTAACTCCCTTACGTCCTTCAAGTCTCAGCATTTCACCTTCTCAGTGAGAACTAACCTGATCATTCCATTTAAAACTGCAATCTGCATCATTTCCCAGTGCCCCCACTCCTTATTCCTTTTATCTTGTTATGATTTTCCCATGGGAATTTTCACCTTCTAGAGTACTAAATAATTTGCTTATAATTATATTGTCTTCCCATGCCAAGTGGCAAGCTCTTTGAGGGCAGAGTTTTGTGTATAAGTTCACTCTTACATCCTTAGACACCTTTTGAATATCCTTAATGACAATTTTTTAATTTTCAAGGAGGATTTACTTTATAGGTCATATAAAGTACCTGGAAAACTGTCTGGCATGCAGACAACATTTAACTGTGTTAAATCATTACACAGATGCATTAATGACCTGAAAAACCTCTGATCAGCCATTAGATTGGAGCTCAGGACACTTGATAATAAAAGTTGGTTTCGCCTTCTTGAAGTGCACAGAGGGAATTGTCCAAGATTCGATTCTTTTTGGACACTTCAATCAAGATAGGCCAAAGGACTTCTTCAAATGCAGAGAAAAAAGGACAAAGGGTGTGTGTGTTTTTTAATACAAAAAAGAGGTTGAATGTTTATAATCTGTAATAACTCTTTTCCAAAATTAGGTTTATCGCCTCAGGTCTGGTAGGTCTCATTGAGAAGGTGAAATGCTGAGACTTTTTATTGATTTCAGAGAGAGGAATCGGGGGGTCTGAATCCTCTTCTTCCCACACACCTGGGGGTGGCCAGGGTGGATGACCAGTTTCAATTAGCTGACAACTTAGGATTCTGAAGTAGAAAGACAAGGTCAGGAGCAAACAGCTTTGTTTTTTGCATTCAAGGATCATCGATTCCAGAAAATACATTAAAAAAAATTTTAATGTTTTTATTGATTTTTTTCCTTAGAGAGAGAGGGAGAGGAAGGGAAAGGAAGAGAAACATTGATGTGAGAGAGAAACATCCATCAGCGTGCACCCCCACTGGGTATGAACCACAATCTGGGTATGTGCTCTGCCCAGGAATTGAACTGGTGACCTTTCAGTGCATGGGGCGATGCTCAAACAACTGAGCCACAATGGCTAGGGCTAGAAAATAAATTTTTTTAAAAAATATATCTTTATTGATTTAAGAGAGAGGAAAGGAGAGGGNCATAAATTTTTTTTAAAAATATATCTTTATTGATTTAAGAGAGAGGAAAGGAGAGGGAGAGAGAGAGATAGAAACATTAATGATGAGAGAGTTGTTGATCAGCTGCCTCCTGCACATCCCCAACTGGAGATCAAGCCCACAACCCGGGCATGTGTCCTGACCAGGAATTGAACCCTGATCGCCTGGATCCTAGGTCCATGCTCAACTGCTAAGCCACGCCTGGCCAGGCTAGAAAATAAATTTTAAGAGCTGCTTTTCTACCCTTAAAAAATGTATTATTTGCAATTGCATGTAAGCTATTGCTTTATTATTTTCCCTTCCTTGACAGGTTTAATTTTGTTCTTACTTTTTGGCTAGTATTTCATTAATTATACAATATGTGCTTATAGCTGCAGCTTTGATAAAATTTTGAGGCAAGACACTCTTGAAGCTGGTTTTCTTGATTCAGTCAGTAAGCATCTTACTTTGAAAAATACATTGTCTCACAGTGCCTCTTTAAAGCTGTATTCTGATTTGAGAGCACACTTTGCACTTCTCACAATTTATCACTTTCTAACTCTAGATTATAAATATATATTTACGTGTCTGTTTTTGCTATTATATTTAAACTTCCTGAAAATATCTTACTCATTTGTATGACCCACAAATGCTAAAATGTTTAATTATAATCTGTTGAAACGTATATAGCTGGCGATGTTTGTAACTATAACATAGTATTATAGTTGTATGTTTACGTGTGGATCACTTCCAACTAGTCTGAAAGGGACCTTGCTAGAAGTCTTTGTATTAGCAGCATTTGAAGAGCACCTATTATGTAGGAGGCATTCAATGAATGAATGAATGAATGAATACACTGAATATGCTAAGGAGTAATTCTACGATCCAATGAGCGGAATGGCCGATAATAGAAAGTCTATATACACAATTCTCTGCATGCTGTATCAAGAAGGCGAGGAAAACAACAGCTAAGCGGCTTCTCGGCTGCTTTCTGCCTATTGTACAACTAAGAAGCTGACAATAAAGTTTATTTGAGCGTCGACGTGCCTCGACGTGGCTCCGCCTCTCCCGCCGACGCCGCGATTGGCGGGCGTTCGGCCGGCGGCCGCCTTTCCCGAGCCACGATTGGCGAAGGCGGCCGTCAAGTCGGAGCGTCCAGGCGCCTGCCCGCCCTCTCGCCGCGTAGCCGGT